GATAGTTGGTATCTATCTTTAATACCCATCGAATGCGGTATAGGTAACGATCTAAGAATAAATTTATTATTTTTTGTTGGTTTCATTTGAAGCATAATATCTCTATGTATAGATGTTCAATTTTATCACAAAATATATCATAAGATAGCTCTAGTTTAGGGGAATCAAATAAAAAAAAGTTTGTATAATTTAGATCACTCATTGTACCATAATTAGCATTTTAATTTTAGCAATTATTTTCGAATTTTATAATTCCACAAATACTTTTGCTAAGGGAGTGTACATGGTTGGCACCAATAAACATATTTTTTATTGCATTCTTCACATCTTACCATTTTATTTTCTTAATTTTAACGAGTGCGGTAAAAGGTATTTTAAAATTATTAATTATAGCACGAAATATAAATAATTTCTTAAAAATAGAATAGTATCACCACCACCACCATAATACTATTATTAACTAAAATTTATTAATAATTGCTTTACCGTTTAGATATTATTCTTTAACATAACATGACAAGAAATCGATTCAAAAAAATTGTTGTATGTAGTAATTGTTAAAAATATAAATTTCGCTCAGTGAATAAAATATTAGAAATTGACTGGTGTCCAAATTACAAACTTGGAAATAATTTTTCATAAATGAAGAAAAGTCAATTAATACTAAGAAATATTGATATATTGATTATAATTATTTGTCAAGATTCAATTAATTCATATATGAATATTCAAAATTATAAGAAAATTTAAGATTTTACCAATAGATAAATACTTTATGTGTTGGATAATAGAAAAGTAACAATATACTGCATAAATATATTATACTGTGAAGTAATAACGTCAAAACCAAAATAGTATAAATGCGAATATCAATCGAATTTCTTATTAAAATAAAATATATAATATTAAAATTACAATACGTTGTACAATTTAAAAAGTTACGATTAATTTCATTCATTAAAATAAGAAATATAATCTCTGGAATGGAGAACCAAATAAAGTCATTATCCAAACGAAATAATTCAATTCCCAAATTCGAATTTGTATTGCACAAATCTTCAACGTGCATTTTTCTTTATCATTAATTTTTTAACGCCGAGTTCAGTTTAAATCTTTCTCTTTCCCTCCTTTTATTTACAAAAAATGTCGGGATCAAAAGATGGTAGCAATAATGATAATAATAATAAGGATAATACTATTATAGTCAATAATGATGACAAAAATTCAATTAACGAAAACAATAATTTGGATAGAAATAAATCACATGATATCGAACAGGTTATTAACATCGAGAAAAAGAATGATAATAATAAAAATGATTCAGAAAAAGGCTTTTCAAAGAGTTTGCATGTTGGTGGTCAAAAAGTGTTAGTTGTAGATCATGCAAACGAAATTTTAAGTGGTGAAGGAGCTCCTTCTTGTTGTGTTATTGGGTCACCTGAACATGTAGGTATTTAATTATTTTTTTAGAAAATTGCTAAAGCTCACTAGTGGTTGATCAGGAAATTGGTTAATTTTGCCTGGTGGTGACAATCACTACTGGTGAGCTTTAGTAATACCATTTTAATTATTATAATTAGATATTTATTTATTGATATAATTATTTGTTATGTTAAATGATGTTCTTCATCAGATAGCTGCGTTAAGGATAAAAATCGATGAATTAAAATCAAATTCCGCTCGATTAGAGCAAGAGCGTGCTGATGCTCTTGAACGTTCTGAAAGCGTAGGAAATCAACTTGACAAACTTGTCAATGAACTAAAAAATCTTGGTCACGATAATACTGATTCGTATTCTGAACAAACGATTCATGCTACTGTGCATACGTTTGGTCATTTAAGAAAATTGGAAGTTATCGCTGATGAAGAAGAAGAAACTATCTATAGTTATGATAGATTAATGAGAAAACCAAGAGTGAGACAGTATTGGCATAAAGGAACTTTGCATCGAGAAGCAGATGAAAGACATGCAAGTTATACTGAATTATTTTTTGATTTGATATTTGTGGCTGTGGTTAGGAATTTGGGACATACGTTAGTATCTGATATTTCTGGAACCAATGTGGAAAGATTCATTTTAACATTGTTAGTATTAAAATTTTTTTTGATCCATAAATATTATATATATATATTTAATGTTATATTTTTTAAAGAATTTATGATAATTAATTGATCAAATATTTTTATATTTGTAGTTATCCTATTTGGAGAGTATGGTTGGATGTCGTTTCATATTTAAATATATTTAGTTCGGAAGATCTCGTTGAGAAATTCATTATTCTTTGGGTAAATCAATTGTTTTTTCAATTCACATCAACATTTCTTATTTCTATATCTAATAATCTTATTATTTGTAGGAAATGGTACTCGTAATAGTAATGGGAACTCATGCATCAGATATAATTCATTCAACAAGATCTACCTTCATAAGTAAATATAAGGCTTTTCGTTACTTTTAATATAATTTATAACTTTCAAAGATTTTAATTATTTCTTCCTTTGCTAATTTAATAGTAAGTTTTGTGATCGCTCGTCTCTCACTTGTAATGTTATATATCGCGTACGCAATTTGGATACCAATGTTTCGTACAGCTTTTATCACACTTATATGGGGAATTATAATCCCATGTTTAATTTGGGTTATTGCCATTTTTACACCATCAGATAATGTTAATATTGTTATGTGGGTAGCTGTTATATTTGGTACGTCTTTAAAAGTAATTCGCATGTCATTTATACAGTACAATACTTTGATATTTATTTAATCTATTTATATATTTACAGAAGGGCTTTGGCAAGGTATTTTAACTTTTTTTTTTTTTTGAAAGAAAGTAATTTTTTATTAACCCACGTTAAATTTAATTGCATAGGCTTCGTTCCACTTTATCACCGACTTTTTACAAAAAATCCTGCAAATCATATTCACACTCGAGATTTCGAACGAGTCAATACACCAGACGAATCAACCGAAAACTCTATCTCAACTCGCACAAAATCAAGTTTAAATTTATCGACTCCTCATAAAGCAATGAGAATAAAAGAATTTGAATGGAAATGGACCGATATATTTTCCATTTTGAAGCAAATTGAGTATCGTACAGCAAAAAACATCGAACATTGGAGTGAACGAATAGGATTATTTACTATTATCGCTGTAGGTGAGAGTGTAAGTATTCATTAAAAGATTCATTTATAGACGTAGAAAAGATTTTTGTTATAAGGATAATATTCATTTATAGTAATATATGTATTAGATTATTGGAGTATTATACGTGAGTACTAATGTATATCCAGATGGTCAGCTTGCTAAGGTAATTGATTTTATTTATTTTCCGGGTTATCTATCAAATTTTAAAATTATTCGCTTGTATTAATTCATATTTTTTTTTTAAAAAATAATCATAAGGCTATATTAGGTTTAATAATAGCATATAGCATACATTGGATATATTTTGATGTTGATGCAAGTCGACAATTTCAGCATGCATTGAGGAGACACGTGTTTACTGGATGCGTGTTTACTTTTATTCATTTCCCTTTGGTAAGATTAGAGTTAAAAATTTTCAAGTAATTTTCATATCAAAGATGCATTTATTTATTTATAATTTGTTTGAAATATTCAAAATACGAAGATTATGTCATTAATTGCATTTGGGTAAGCTATAATGATATCTTCTCTCTCACTTAAATTCTTAAATTATGTATTGTTATAAAATATTTAAAATATTTATTTTCATATTTTATAGAACTTCTCTTGGAAGCATAATGTCAATAATAGATTATCTTGGTGAAGAAGAAAATCATTCTTCTAATATTGAAGATCCAGATGTTAGTAGTCATTTATTATCTAGTCGGGAAGTAGGCTCAGAAAGCACTGCATTTCCGGAGCCCTTAGCATGGTTATTTTGTGCCTCTTTAGCTATTGCTATGTATTGTATGGCGATAATTGGAATTGTACATAAAGGTTTGGACTCTGTAAATTTAATGAGAATCCCAAAGGTAAATTTAAAAAATTTTTACTTATTTTTTTTTTAGATGCTCACATATGTCCTAATTTAATAATTAATTACTTAATTTCTTTAATAGTATCAACGAATAACCTTACGAATCGTAGTAGGCACAATATTTTTACTCCTTCCTCTGGCGCATCTCAATACATTAAATTTGGTAGCCATCGTTGCTCCACTTTCGATCTTTTTAGTAGTAGTAGAAGCATATGGAAAATTAAGAAGTGATATGCCATTGTTTGGAGATTATGAAGGAGATGTTATAGGAGGAATGGGTGAAGCTAAATTTGTAAGATGGCGATGGGGAACAGACTTGAAAAAACGAGGATGGTCACGAGGATTTTTAAAAAGAACTAAGAGTGAAAATGAAAAGAATGAAAAGGATGAAAAGAATGATAAAAGTGGTGAAATAATTGAAAAGATGGTTTAAAATTTTTGTAATGGTAAATACATATATGTATATTATTTTATTATTTATTATATTATTCGTATTCTTTATTTATTTATTTAAAAAAAAAAAATAGTAATTCAATTACATTAATTAATAAATCTGATTATAATTTTTAATACATTCCTATTATTTCATCTGTATTCATTTCTTTATCTAATAATTCATTAAACAATTTACTTTTAATACGTGAAACTTGTATTTGTTGAGCGGTGGTTACAAAAATATATGGTTGGTCCTTCTTCCTCATTTTTTTTGTTGGAATTAATAAGTTGTGTGGAGGTACGAGAAGTTAAACGACTGCTACTAAAATCATTTGAAAAGATTCCTTCATGAGTCCTTCGATGACGAAGTTTCGGTATTGAACTAAGTGTCGAGTAATTCCATAAATTATAGCATTCACGAAATCCGCACTACTAAATAGATACGCTTTCTAAATTAAACTATTTATATAATAATAATAATATATATAATTAGTTATATTAGTTAGACTAAAAAAATAAATTAATTAATGTACTTATTATCCATCGCGTCCAGACAATGTATAAATGCGTTCTAGAAAATCTATTTTTTAAAAAAAATATATATATATACTAATTAATTTGCCTAGATAATTTTTTTTTTTTAAAAAAAAAAATACATACAAAAGGATGTCAAAAATGTTTTAGGCTACATGGTTGGCACCAATAATCATATTTTTTTTTATTGCATTCACATCTAACCATTTTATTTCTTAATTTTAATGACTGAGGTAATACCGTACACGATTTAGAATAATATCACCATTATCCCTTAATCTGCCGGGCAGGCAAATTTGCTGCTAAAACAACGTAACGATATAGTAGCTAAATTGCTTTTCCGTTTTAAGATATAAATTTTAAATTTCGGGATTATTAGAACCAAATTGCAAACTTGGAAATAATTTTCATGCATATATATATAATATATAAATACTTTATATATATATATCATTAGATTCAAATATAAATTTATGTGTGTGGATAATAACAAAATACAATATAATGCGTGAAGTAATAAATCAAAATAGTATAAATTAGATAAACGAAATAAACAATTGCATATATGTTGAATCGAAATACATATATGATATTTGAAATATAAACTCAATTTAATTCAAGTGTGAATGTGTTTGTAAGTATTTATATAAGGAATTTAACTTCCTCCTTAATTACTAATAACATATAAAAATTATGTCTAATAAACTAGTAAAGCAAATAGTAATAAATTCAAATAAATATATTTTAAATATATAAAGTTAGAATATATAACATTAACTTTTGGGGATCGACTACTCTGCAAAGTGAATTATGTATTGTTATAAAAATATTTAAAAATATTTATTTTCATATTTTATAGAATTTCCCTTGGAACAATAATGACAATAATAAAGTATCTTAGTGAAGAAGAAAACTTATGCTTCTAATATAATATTGAAGATTCAGATGTTAGTAGTCATTTGTTATTTAATCGGGAAGTAAGCTCATAAAGTACCATAACCGAATTTTCGTAGTCCTTGGCATGGTTATTTTGTGCCCTTTGGTTATTTCTATGTATTCCATGGAGATAATTGGGATTTTGTATAAAGATTTGAACTCCGTGAATTTTAATGAGAATTCCAAAGGTAAATTTAAAAAAATTTGCTTATTTGTTTTTTTTTGATGCTCACATATGTCTAATCTTTCCTAACCATAATTAATTGATTAATTTCTTTATAGTATCAACGAATAACTTTACGATTCCCATCTCAATACATTAAATTCGGTAGCTATCGTTGCTTTACTTTCTATCTTTTTAGAGTAATAGAAACATACGGAAGATTAAGAGGGATTTGCCATTTTTTGAAAACTCTGATGAAGATATTATTATAAGAGGATAGGAGGAATGAATAAAGCTAGACTTGAGTAAACGGGGATGGTCACGAGGATTTTTAAAAGAACTAAGAATGAAAAGAATGATAAAAATGACGGAACAAATGAAAAAAAAAATGAAAAGGATAAAAGTGGTAGCATAAATGAAAGATGGTGTATATATGTATATTATTTATTATTTATTATTCCGTATTAATTTCAAAAAGATATTATACTTCTATTATACAATCTAACAAATGCTGATGAATGGAATTTCGCCTAATTACTATTTTTAACTCATTTCTATTGTTCATCTGTATTCATTTCTTGATCTGATAATTCAACTGACGATTTACTTTTAATACTGGAAACTTGTATTTGTTGAGTGGTGTTTACAAAATTTTTGTTGGAATTAATTATTTGTGTGGAGGTACGAGAAGTTAAACGACTGCTACTAAAATCATTTGAAAAGATTCCTTCGTGAGTCCTTCGATGACGAAGTTTCGGTATTGAAACTAAGTGTCGAGTAATTCCATAAATTATAGCATTCACTAAACCTGCACTACTAAATATACACGCTGCTAAAATTAAACTATTTATATAATAATATATAATTAGTTAGATTAGTTAGAATAGATTTACGTAAAAAATATAAATTAATTAATGTACTTACTATCCTTCGGAAATTTGGCGTCCAGATAATGTATAAATACGTTCTAAAAAAAAAAAGAAAGAAAACTTTAAAAATCTATTTTTTTTTTTAATAAAAATATTAATTTGTTTAGATCATTTTTTTTTTATGAAAAAAAAAATAATACGTACGAAGAGCTAATGGGAATACCAAAGTGAAATAAACAAAAGGATACCAAATCAATTTTTTATTTACAGATTGTAAAGCTTTTTTGTATACTCTATGATCCGTTTTTCGCTGACGATTATACAATAATACAAACATAATTGTGTACATGACAAAAATCAAAGTGGCAATAACTAAGATGATACCATAATGAAATAGAAGCCGGTATACTTTGTATTGATCAGAAATCCAACACCAAGAACCACCAGCAGAAGCAAAAAATGGAGGAGAATCTCTTTGAAAGTAAAAACTCGCCATAGAAACAATTATAATTATATTTATTAGCCATACTGAAATAACGCTTGATAAAACTATATGAGGGTATTCATATGAATGGACAACTATCATGTAAGTGTGGATACATATTACAAATGTCCAAAAAGCTTTAAAAAATAAAAATAAAAATATTTTAATTAAACCGGAAGATCAAAAAAAAAAATGTGAGATCAAAGAATTTGAAAACACGAAAAAAGTAAAAATATACCTGAAGATACATCGCCTAGATTTATAAGTATTCCTTGTATGTCACAGAAAACACCTACTTTAATACGACCAACATGTATCCAATAATAACTGAACATGAAACCCACACTTTGAAAAAAATCCGATATACATAAATTTAACACCAAACGAGAGTATACTGTATTTCTTGATTTTTGGATAATTATTGATAGAAACATTATAATACAAGAAATATTACTTAACGTACTGAAAGATACTATGGCTATCATTCCATTTCTATATTTAATTTCTTCCAGCGTTAAATTTAATGAATTTTTAGAATCTAAATTATATCCATCCATACTTATGTCTTGTCTTGTTTTGTATTAAAGCGAAATTAGTTAGAAAATAAATAAATAATAAATAAATAATAAATAAATAAAAAAAAACTATAAATATAAAATATGTATACGCGCTCGCAAAAATAAAAAAATAATTCTTTCAGTAATTTTCAGTAAAATAAGTAAAATAAGAATCTTCTTAGATTTATATTTGTTTTAATAACATTTGTAATTGCATAAATTATCAATAAAGAAAATAATTATTAAAAGTCGGCAATTAATACTATTAAAGGAAACGCGCGAAATTAAAAGATCAACTATACGTATAGTATGAATATTGAAATCAACTATTCGGGAACTTTTGCATTTTTTTTTTCTAACTTTGAATTTTGACTTATCGTAAAATACAGAGAAATAAATATGTGAAAAAAAATGAAAATGTAAAATTATATTTCATTTAGGATCGTCACAATACAATCCAAATTGTCATTATAATATTATCGACCATTATTTCCGTGAAAAAAAAAAAAAAAACTGTTAATCCATTCGTGTATTTTTTTAAATTATTAATTTATTAGACTTGAAAATAAATTATCAAGTTATGATTAAGTCTGAATATAATGTACGAAATAAAATATTTTCTCGTAATTTTTTTTTAGTTAACGAAAAATAAACAATAATCAAATTAAGTTTAAAATTGTTTGTTTAATATTAACGGTGGTTGGTTTTACATATACAGTACAAATAAACGACCGAAATTATTTTGATCTTAACTTAATTAAGATATTCAACAATCAAATTAAATTCGTAGCTGAAAACATTTTTAACGATATATCGAACCATAATTCCACTCCACCAGTTATAATTACATATTTTTCGCGTATTTCCAGAAGTATAGATTAAAGACAGTATCTTTCAGGTCATTTTCATTATAATTCAAAACAATTTTAAATTACCATTTATTAATTAAGGGATATTATCAAGCGTCATCAACTACGGATTTAATCAAGAATTACGAGAGAAAAAATTTTGTGCATACCAGTAACCAAAGAATAACATAAAACTTGTAACGAAATTTTGATTAGAATTTTAAAAATCTATAGATTGAATAACGAAATGTCAATGTATAAAAATTAAGAATATGCAACAATGAAACAATTACTGTATACAATAAAATAAAAATTACTGTATGTAATCAAATTATGAAACAAAAAAAGAGAACTGAACGAATATCTATTGTCATAATTAGATAAGTCCGAAGGAAAATCTCACGGGCTCCTGCCTCCGTTTGTTAAATAATAACTCAAATAAGGAACAAATAAACATTACAATGATGATAAAAAAAAAGAAAGGTTAGCTCTAAACGTTATACTCGGTGGAAAACATTGCATATGCCTGAATGGAGATATAAATATCTGTCATAAGTTTTTCGAATATGTATGGCGTTTTTGTCAGTATCACCAGAAATTTTTCTATCCCCACATGATGTTTTACATAAATTTCAGGGGTATCGTATTTATCATCTAGTGTCACACCTTTAAATACCCTGGGATAAGAGTCTAGACCCTGGTCAGGTTAAGATTGCAATACATTACACAAAAGCAACTTATCATGTGATCCGCCGATTGTAATTGCAAAAATCGGCCTTTTCAGAAAAGGAAATATTGACAATAAAATTTTGCTAATCCTATTTCCTTTTCTAAATTTGTGATCATCACCATATTCATTGAAAATTCACGTGCTAAAAAATTGCATTGTTGAATTTTGTAAAAAAAAATTTTTGATTTTAATATATTCCCTCAATAAAATTTTATGAAAAAAAATGACTAATATATCAGACGATCAATTAAGAAAGGTAGTTATTTCAAAATCGAATGCCGAAGTTGAATCAGCCAATGTAGATTCGGGAGATGAGGAAGAGGGTGAAGCTATTGAATCAATAGAAGTTCAAGAAATCAAAGAAGCAGTGTTTCTCTTGTTCCAAAATTTCCGGGAATGTAAAACAACCACACAAGATAAACAAGATAAAATATTAAATACTAAATGTAAAGAAATCAATGATAAGAGCACCGAAATTTACTCTAACTTCGATTATTCTATTAGAATCAGCAAAAAACTTCGATCACATTCCATCGATATTTTAAATAGCTCTGATACTGATACACGAAATTCGGTAGATAGTCTTAATGAAATTAAAGATTTAATTAAAAAAATTAAAGGAATTAAAGATAAAATGGAAGATATTCAAGAAGAAATTTTGAAACACAAAATAGATATCGATACGAAAAATAATTTGATTGACAAAAGAAATAATGAAATAATTGAGCATAAGGAGAAAAAAGAAATTCATGAATCTATTTCTCCACGTTTAAAAATCTTGGGTTCGATTTTCATAGTACTCGCATTTTTAATATTATTTTTTTTATATCCAAATCCTAATGATAGTATCAGAGAGGATGTATTATTATTCGCGAAAGGTTTCTTTTTAATTTCCGTCGGTTTTGGTTTCTCGCTTTCCTCATCTCACCATGAAAGCAAAGTCACTGAAACAGAAGAAGACTTGGAGCAAATAAAGAAATTCTTGGAGGAGAGTAATAAAGATGACGTAGAAAAAGTGGAAGAAAAGTTATCTAATCTTATTAAACAACTTGGTATTATGTACAAATATTGGAAAAAAAATCAAAAGAATTTAAAGGAATTAATCAGTGAACCGAATCCACAGTTAAGTAAAGAGAAATGGGAATTTATTAAACAACAATGTGAAACATATGTTCAAGACGTAGAGCAGATGATGAATAAAAATAATCGATTGAGAGAAATTGATTCAAGTAATGAAAGCGAAAGCAGTGGAAGCAGAAATGATGAAAATAATGTAAGTATTTTTTTTTTTTTTTTTTTTGTAATGCATTATTATTCTGTAATAATTCATTAATTCTTTTTTAAATCTTTAAAATATCTCCAGGTTAATCTCGAAATTAATTAGTTCAGATAAATGTAATTAAATAAAATTTATGCAACTGGTAATGTTATCGAAAACTTATCTATACATATATTACACAATAAATAGTATATTAAAACTTGAAATATATTATATAAGAAAATAAGTAGTATATCGATTGATAAACAGTATATTAGTATATTACAGCAATAACATATAATCATAATGTGTCTAATAACGTGATCTTAAAATTTATAAAAATATTTCTAAACGAACTTTTTTCTTAGTTAATTGTTAAAGATATCATGATCATCATATGGTATCCCGTGTTATATCGTCTCCCACAAAATTTTTATGTAATAAACTAACTTTATTTCCTGTTTACTATTTGTTTCCTTTCCTGAATTGACCAAACCAAATCTCCTTTCCTTTTTAACATTTCAACATTTCAACGTGAGCGTCAAGTGGAAGATTCAGAAACGTTCGATTGGGAGATCAGGAAAACATCCACAAATTAATATAGTATTTTGGTAGTGTTTAAGACTGAAGATTGTTTAAGAACAATTGCAAAGAAGTATGATTAACGACCATGATAGATCTTAACACAAAAATGGATGAATTATTGAAAAACGGGAAAAAAAAGAGCAAAAGTAAGAATATCATCAAGGTTCAGGCTTCCTGTTGATAAACTAGATATGAATAAAAGTTGATGTATGTGTAATTTCTCGTTGAGAGAATGGAGAATGATATACACCCACCTACATCATTTATTGATCACACTAATTTTATATTGGTGTGATGGACTTCATAAAGGAATGATTCATCGCCGACTAGCAAATTCATGTGAGGCATTCAGTCCAAATTGGACTGTAGAGAGTAATGTGATATGTGTAGTTGGAGACGCTGAGCTTCCATCCGACGTAGGTGTATGGTATATAAGAACAACGTTTGCGCAAGGGTCAAGGCCATTGCTAATCAATGCTCACCACCAGATACATAGATAGAAGTAAATGTATTAAATTTCTACTGAGGAAATTAAATGATTTGACTCATCAGATCTGAATCCTTGCAGGTGTTTTTAATAGAGATCCAGATCGCGACAACACTTAATCTTGTTTAGCAATACTGGGTTAAAATCGAATATGTCGGAATTGCTCTTTCTGATTCAATTAATCCTTTCTATCGCAACTCAAAATATGGGATAGCTTCGATTCCTGCAACTCCTCAAAAATAACAGACCTTATCAAGCTCTATTATCGTATTCGTTGTATTCGTTGGAATGTTAACAATGTACTTAGATGTGGGTGGACACTTGAATTTAATATTGTACTCGTACTAATGTAATTACCTGATACTCTCAAAGCTTGTCGCAAATATGATCATTATTAATATAATACTGCAGTAGTAAGACGTGACTGTGGGTGTGTGTCATAACCTTTTATGTAGTAATCAATATAATCATTATTATAAACGGAAATCACGTGACCTACAGAAGATTACACACATTTTTGACTTCGGCCGCGACTTTCTACTAAGGCATTTATATGACAGCTCGAAAGCCCTAGTTCTTTGTTACAAGATAATATATGTTTTATTTCTGTAGCATCGATATTCGCGGAGATATTGCGTATAAAGTCGAACGTCCGTGAAAAATTTTTGACAAATTTTTGACAGAAAACTTTCACGGACGTTCGAATTTAAACGCGAATATCTCCATGAATGTTGATGCTACAGAAATTAAACACCTATTATCTTGTAGCCAATAACCAAGACTTTCGATTCGTCATAGAAATACTTTAGTAGAAAATCACTTCTTGTTGCGTAAATCGCGGCCGAAGTCACGACATACTACACGTCTTACTATTACGGTCACGTCAATAATGTAGTACGACGTGACCAAAGTAGTAAAGACAAATTGACGTGATAATTAAGTGATTCAGATCCTAGCATAAGTCTGCACCTCTAATAGTAATATTTTTAACCTTAGCATTTTCAACGGATAATAGATGCCGTAAAAGTTTATTGGCTAATTCTTGTTTAGATCATCTTTCAGTTAATTCTTGATGCAATCGTCTTTCAGCTAACTCTTGCTGTAATTTTTTCAGCTAATTCTTGCCGGGATAATCTATCAGTTAATTGACGCCTCTTATGCTCTGAATAGCTTTTATAATCATATAGTTTTTCTGAAACATAAGATTTGCATCCTCCATAAATACAGTATAATAGCAAATACCCAAGTTTACAGTACAACGATATTCTCTACCAGGCATATGAAGAAACTTCTTTTCCATAAGATGTTATCATTTCGAACTGATTCCCAAACTCGTTTTGCCAAAGTTTCAGGGCGTTCCTTATAGTTTCAATAAGCATTTTGGATAAGCTGTGCACTTCCATTCTCAGTTTTTGCTTTAGAGCATTCATTATCCCAATGATATTTCATCATATCCATATCTGCGCCATCCATCAAAATACGTACTGTATGTCTTTTTTTGGCTCTACATTAGTGATCACCAATTTCCAGCAATCGAAACAAATGGCCATTTATGAATTCTGGGACGATAATATTTAGAATCAACCATCTTGCCACTCCCAAACCCTGCAAACTAGCAGTGACGGTGATATTCACTAAATCTCTGAATGGTTAATAATTCTTGTAATAGAATTCGAGCTCTTACTGCTCAAGCAACTAGAGACTGACCTGGTTTGACATCATATTGTTTTTCTATTTCGATTATTTTATTGATGTCAGTTCCATATCTGTAATTCACGATGTATGGCCTAATATATATCATATCATATCCAGGATGATTATTAATGGGTTTAGGTACAGCCTTATTAAATCGTTCATATAAAGTGATATTGATAGCTAGTCCAGACATAATGAACATACACGATTTCTACAATTAGTGATACATTTACCGAATCTGCAATTTTATCGATTTGTAGCGATTTATAGCAAACTCTAGCGATTCTTTGTAAAAGAATAATATGATTCAAATTTATACGATCACTCAGAGAGAAAGATTGTCAGAAGTAAGAAATCACCAAGCTGTCCACGGCAATAACTTCGATCAGTCAAATATTCTCGCTCCATTTGCTACGGAAAAACCTTAACATCACACAACCTTTTGGAATTGGATACAGGACGTTCTAAACGTCGGTAACAATAGTTTATATTTGATAACCGTACGACACTATTACTTTTCCTTATCAGAAGCGCAATTAAGGAACTGCTCCAGATTAGTACAGAGATGCAAATTCATCATTGACATAATGGATTTATAAAAAAAAAACTTTAATACTCTGTCCATAACGGACAGTTTAATAAAGGAACAATTTATTGAATCTATTTATGGTGAAAATACTATAAAAACAAAGAAAACAAAAAAGATACTGCCTTGTCCGACAAGTTTGTGCCCAAAACTATCTATAACTTCTATAACTTCTATAACTAAAAGTTTAACCAAAAAAAAATTTGTACGATTGTTTAATCTGAACGATTTACAAAATAAGAGTGCATATGTTTAATTAACATTGTTTTTAAATAATTTCTCAACCAAAAATGCCCAAAGCAGGTCAATGGTGGTGGTATCAGCCGATAGGTCTTTCTTTCGGTTCGCATGTACGCAATTTACATTCATTTTTACATGTCTCATCATTAGGTCTACAGCAAGAAGCGTTGGGATTGCAAGTGCAGGTAGGCAAACCACATTCCTCAAAGCATTTCTCATCACCAGAATTACAACAAGAGACGAAACTACAGTTTGGATTTTTTCTTTGACGTTTCAATAGATTCGTTCCCGTTCGGTGATTGTTCGGATACGCAATAACAACCACGGCAAAGATAGTTAGGAGGAGTAAAAAAAGATTGAATTTCATTTTGATTTTTCAGATTGTTCAGTCAAGTTTTTGTCGATTTTATTAATTTTCATCCTTTCCTTCTCCTCGACCCCTTTATATAATGTTCATCGCGGTTTATAACCATGATTAATTAAGTTCTCTATTATTAATCAAAATGATTTGTTTCATAAAAAAAAAGAATTAGCCTTATAAAAATATTTAATCCGTGTTTTATATTGTATTTTTTTTTTATCAATAAATTTAGCATCTTCACGTAATTTATGATTAAAATTACTTGCCTTGCTTAGGCCCTTCCGTGAATGTAGCATATTCTTGGATTTTTTTGCAGACAGTATGGGGTGGGTACTAATCATATGAAGTTTCAACTTGTATAATGTACGGCCTATGGTTTAAGTCTTTTTCTTACACATAACGAACTTTTTAACTTTCTCTGTGATTTTATAAAAACGATGATACTTCAAACACAAAATCAGATCATACGAATCATATGCTATATTACTATGCTTTAGAAATGAATATTCACGAACGCATCTATTCAACTCTTAACACAATTCTTTAAAAAGTAGGTCGACGAATAACTCGAGCGTCCTAACACCTCAATAATTCTAGAAATTAATTTTGAAGTATGAAACGGAATTTTTGGTCGCATATGTGTCTTTATCATGTGGCACACCATAATAAATTATTTACAATTGTGTGATGTCTGTTATTCATGTGATTACATAAATTACTGGCTAAATAAACCCGTTGTACCTAATTTATTACCCCAATTGCCATCATATATCGGGATCTTTTGTTATTCCGCAAATTCCGATGAAATCCCGAAACTTATGCCTTTCAACTGGATTACCATCTAAATAATGTATTTTTACAAATTATAATTATTATATTATATATTTTCAGAAAACTTAATAATAATAATTTTACCTCATTCAAGAACTCTTCATTAAATTATCAAACTTTTTTAATTCCACTTCTGATCAGTAATGGCAAATACCTTCAAATGACTTGGGGATTTGGTCATTTGGTTATTTAGGTCATTTCATTCCAAATTTCAAATGACCAGGTCATTTGACTCAACTAATCATATGTCACCAATATTTAACATCAAGGAATTTCGCATTTTTTTTTTTACATTTTTCGACTTCGTTCGCGATTTGCGAATCGTAGAGCGATTTTCTACTAAAATATTTTTCTAGATAGAAAGAAATCCCTTGTTCTTGGCTACAAAGTAATATGTATTTTATCCCGATAGCATCGGTATTCACGGAGTTATTCGCGTTTAAATTCGAACGTCTGTGAAAAATTTCTACCACAAATTTTCCGTAATTCTGGTCAGAATTATGAAAAATTCCGGAAATTTATGGCAAAAATTTTTCGTCATTAAACGCGAATATCGATGATATAGGAATTAAATACATATAATTTTGTAGCCAAGAACAAGGCCTTTCTTTTTAAGATAGAAAGAAATGCTTTGATCTTGGCTACAAAATGATATGTGTTCATCCAGGTAGCATCAATATTCGCAGAGTTATTTGTGTTTAAATTCGAACGTTTGTGAAAAATTCTGCCATAAATTTTCCGTAATTTGGCCAGAATTATGAAAAATTCCGGAAAATTTACTGTAGAAATTTTTCACGGACGTTCGACTTTAAACGCAAATAATTCCGCGAATATTGATGCTACCTGGATCAACACATATCATTTTGTAGCCAAGAATGAGGCCTTTTTTTCCATATTAGAAATTTCTTGGTGTAAAATCGTTCTACACTTTGAAAATCGCGAAGAAATGTAAAAAAAGTGTGAAGATTCTCCGTTTGTATCTATCTATTAAAAATTTCATTTTTTTTAAGTAATTTATAATTCGATTTTTATTGGTTATTCAAATGACTTTTTAAATGATCTGGTCATTTGGTCACTTGCCATTTGCGAAATGACCATTTTGAAATGACCCCATTGAGGGTCATTTCAAAATAGGCAAATGACCAAAGTCATTTGACATCTCTGTTTCAGATGGACCCCATCTTTCCAACAATTCACTTAAAATACTAGCAATTTTTTAAAATCCTCAAATCTATTATAAGGTGTCCATTCTATTACTTTCCAGTCATCATCTGCACGTAATTGAGCATCCCGAAAAATGTTTCATTTCACCTGTCCATTTATCAAAATTATTTTTGAAAATGCTTTGGGTTACATCGTTTGCACCAATACCAATACAAGGAAAAAAGTGTTACGATCACCCATTTTATTTTCTTAATTTGATGGGTGAGGTAATTGAAAAAAAGGGTGGAAAAAAAATAGGAGGAAATTAATAACCATAGTGTCAAGTCGCTGCATCAAGTTTAAAAGTTATGAGATGCACTTTGCGGTATGATCAATTTGTTCCCTTTATAATTTTGTAACAAATGTGATCTGGATTTTTTAATAAAATAAAATAAGTTTTTATTTTTGTGCGATGTATTTTATAGAACGTTGAACTTGTAACATAAAAATAAAATATATTTTCAAGCAAATATAGTGATATCATTATACATTGTTTTGTAATTATTGAAGCTACTGTATACTACATTTGATTTCACGCTATAAATACGCGAAAAAAATAAATATAATGATATAATAAAATAAATAATTTAGATGAAATAAAAAAAGTGAAATTTTTAATTGAAAGTTATCAATTTATTCCTTTGATGATCATTTTTATAAAAGACCTCTTAAAAAACAATTTAACCTCATTTGTAAAAAAAAAATATTAAAAAAATTATTTCCCACTTATTAGCTAATACCAATACTGTACCTTAGTGTTATATTTTGTTTCGTAATATTGAAATTTTAAGCTAACAAAAATTGTTTAAAGTAATAAAATGATTTAGATTCTGAAACCTGATTGAAGAAATATTGTTTGTGTTACAGACGTTATTCCTTTTTTTTATGTACGACTGCGTTTTCGGTCCTTTTTTATATTTATATTTTCGATTTTGGCCAAAATTACACAAATTAATATAAAAATATAAACAAAATGATCGTTTGAAAAAAATTTCCCACTTAATAATATTATAATGGGCCCTCTAAACAAAAAATGCAACGGCAAACCATATTACATTTCTGGAGGCAAGAAATATGCAATGCTACTAAAATACACTCATTAGCAGATTCCACTTATAACTATTTAGTGGCAAAACAGTTTTTCAATTATTCTGTAATATAATCAAACTTTGATACAAAATTGCAAGGCCAATTCATAGGACTGATATTCAAATATTTGCATAGGAAGATTTTTGTGCAAAAGGTAAAACAAGTCTTTAACCTTTTAGGTGTATAATGGATGGAAAATTTTATACAAAAAAACTTAGAAAACCATATTCCAGAGAACCGCAGTATGTTAAAAGGTAGATGGTGGTGTTATTATATAAAATGTAACATTATAATTGTTTTCCTAGCTCTTTCCCTAGATTTCAACATTGATGTAACTTTAAATACTAATGAGTATGGTATGTATCCCTTAATTAATTCATGTAATGTAATTCTAGGTGAACTCATTTCATCTGTATCCCCCCACCAATTCCATCCATCTCATCTGTTTGTCTTTGAATTTTTGTGATTAGGCAATCTATTAGTTGTCTGTAATGTTTTATCATTGGGGTGTATTCACTATCTCCATTGTTGTTTCTTTTGTACTCAAACACATGTATGTCAGTTTCATCTTATCTTCCACATAGTATACATTTTGAATTGTTATATATGTGAAGTTGATGTTTGAATCTTTTGAGCTTTACTGGCAGTTCTCCATTAAAGAGTTTCATTGCAAAACTTCTTTTAATGTGATCTTCTTTGCTTGTGTTATCATTTGTTATTTTACTTGGGTGTAATGTTTTAAATGTAGTAATCCAATCAATTTTTTGTGTCTTCTCATCAACTAGAATTTTTTGAAATCTTTTTTGCAGTTTCTAGCTTTGTCTATGTCTAATCATATTTATTTTTTTCAAAGATTGCTTTATAGGAAGCTCCAAAGGTATTTCTTTCCATGTTGGAATAAATGATTTGTTTTCAATATTATTATAATTGATTTTAATTACATAATCCTCATTTATTTTTTATTTAAAACTTGAGCTAGTTGGTTTGCCATTTCATTAAAATAGTTCCCATAATGTGCTTTTACTTTGTGTAATATGATTTGTAGTTTCAACTCATCTATAATTTCTTTTATAGTCTGAAAGATAACTAGATTTTTGACTTTGTTCCATATGAAATTCATTTTTTCTTTATAAATCTTATTAATATTGTATATAGCACACTTACTATCTGTATATATATTTACCCTTGACCTTTTTGGCATTACTGTTAGTTCTGTCAATATTGCCATTAATTCTGCTCTAGTTGATGGTGAGAATTGTTCTAAGTTACTTCAGAATGTCATATGATTATCATTTTCTTGATCTAGAATCACCCATTCCAGGTTCATGTGGTCTTTCTCAAGTATATTCTTCATTGAACCATCTGTGTATACTTCAATCTCTATCTTATTTTTTAATTTATTCTTTATAGTTTTCATTTTTTATACACTGAATTTTCTGTTGTTAACCATTTTCTAATCATATTTTGACTTGTTTCCATATTAGTCATGTTTGGACATATATTTTTGTCATTTATAGGCTCTTTGTGTGTGGATTCTATAATCTCTATTGCTTTTTTAATGTTTTTAAATGGCATTCTTATCTGTGTTTATATTTTTTAATACTTGTTTCTGAGATTATAACCTTTAAATATGCAATTGTATCTCTATTTCTGTCTCATTCATATTGTCTAGTCTTATGATGCATTCATCTGTTTTATCCCCAATGTTTTTCTCACAACCCTCACAGGAAATTAGCACTGATGTAAGTTCCAAATTTCTTGTTAATATATCATAGTGTTACTTTCCCTTATTGTTTTCTTTTCTGTAATTTTCTTTTTCTTTATTCTTCCTATTTTTATTTGATTAGTGTTTGTAT